ACAACCCCGGGGGCCCCCCCTTTTTTTTTTTTTTTTTTTTTTTTTCCCCAAGGGGTTTTTTTTGGCCCCCCCCTTTTTGGTGTTTTTCGGGGAAAACAAATTTTTTTTTCCAGGGGGCCCCAAAAAGGGGCCGCGGGGGGGGGGGTTTGGGTGACCCCCCTTTCCCCCCCCCCCCCCCCCCCCCCCCCCCCCCGTGCTCTCTCGCAGGCTCGGTTTCCCTCGTCTGGCGACCGTAGCATATGTACACACGTAGCACCACCTTCATGCCTACACCCCGCAACAACCCACTCCTGGCGAGAAACTTAGCATGTGTACACACGCAGCATCGCTTGCACGAATACTCGGTGAACAACGGGAGTACTTTCTTTTCTTGCACGAAAACCCCTTTTTAACGCCTCCGTTTCCCCGGACCCCAAAACAACGGTAAAAAACAGGTTCCGCTCGTCGAGGCCGTGCGACGATGGGACATGGGCGCGCTGGAGGCCCTCGCGGCGGACGGCGTGGACATGGGAGCATCCAACCGCTTCGGCGAGTCCATCGTCCACCTGGCCACGCGCAGGGGCAGCACGCCGGTGCTCCGGTTCCTGCTCTCTCACGGAGGCTCGCTGCGGATCTGCGACGACTACGGCAAGACCCCCCTGCACGACGCGTTCTGGACCGCGGAGCCCCGGTTCGAGCTCGTGGCCATGATGCTGGAGATGGACTGGGGGCTGCTCAGGGCGACCGATGTGCGTGGGGCGACGCCGCTACGCTACGCCAAGAAAGGGCACTGGGCCAACTGGTGCGAGTTCCTCGACCGCGTGAAGGATCACCTGTGGCCGCACCTGCCTCCAGGGGGGGGGGCGACGGGATATTGATGGGGGGGGGGACTTGTGGAGACAGAGAGAGGGTTTTGAAACGGAGAGGCGTGTCTGTTTGTTTTACTGGAGAGAGGGCGGGAAACAAGTGTGGGTTTGGGCTGGATCTAGATATATGGGATCGCAAGATTTACAATAGACGTGCCGTGCTTTCTGACTATTGCTGCTGCTGCTGCTGCTGCTGCGGGCGGCAAGCGTGATGCTACACGAGGCATTAGTCCAGCTTTATATAGAGTCGCCATTTTTTTTTTCCTT